GGGTGGCTCAGTTGGTTAAGCGACTGCCTTCGGCTCAGGTCATGATCCTGGAGTCCCGGGATCGAGTCCCGCATCGGGCTCCCTGCTCAGCAGGAAGTCTGCTTCTCCCTCTCCCACTCCCCGTTTGTGTTCCCTCTCTCGCTGTGTCTTTCTCTGTCAAATAAATAAATAAAATCTTTAAAAAAAAAGTAAATAAAAACAATAAAACAAACATAGGACAAACCAAAAATATAGGAGTAGATTTCGATTTTTCAAGACAACTCTCTTGAGAATTCTCAACAATCCAGATGATTTTAGCCATCAACAGTTATCAATACATTTAAGATTTGGTGCCGTCCACTTAGTTGTGCTACATGGGAAATATTTTTGAGGGTCAGACAGAGGGGAGGCTTTTATGGAGATCACAGATAAGATGCACCACTGACCCAGAACTTATTTTAATGAAAACAATATCACCCTGCAGTGAGCATTTAATCATGATGGGTAGAATTTTGAAAATATTGCCACAAGATCTCCATCCTAATTCCTAGAACTCTTTATATTATAAGCTACCACACCTGTCAATATGATATATTATATAGCAAGGCCAAAGAACCTTTGCAAATGTAATTAAGGTTACTAATCAGTTGACCTTAACATAGGGAGTTTTCTGCATTGTCTCCGTGAGCTCAATCTAATCACATAAGATCTTAAAAGCAGAGATTTTCTCTGCCTAATGGCAGAAGGAGAAATCAGAGGGATTTAAGTACTAGAAGGATTGGAAGCACCATGGCTGCGTTGGAGGATACCATGTGACAAGGAAAGCAGGAGGCCTCTAAACGGAGAACAGATCCTATCCAACAGCCAGCAAGGAAACATAGACCTCAGTTCCAAAACCACAAAGAACTGGATTCTACTACAAACCTGAATGAGTTTGGAAATGAATGATTCCCCAGATTCTCCTGATAACAGCTCAGCCAAGCAGATAACTTGATCTCAGCGTTTGGAGACGCTAAGCAGAAAACCAAGCTGAGTTTGCTTGGCCTTCTGACCTACAGAAATGCGAGATAATAAATGTGTGTTGTTTTAAACTGCTGTTTTAATTTGTGGCAATCTGTTATGCAATGGTGGAAGGCTAATACAAACTTAGACAGCAAAGTGAAGCACAAAGAGATTTTCCAGAATTTGGTACTTCCTAAATCCCAGTCTATTTAAAACGTTTTAAAAATGTCCTTTTGTTCTCTAATTCTACCAAAACCTATCTGCAAGTTTTGCTTAACATTTGTTGCTAGAATCACTATTGTACAATCAGATCTTTGTCTTAACCCTGAGCACATGCAAAACGCACAGAGAGCAAGAAGAGTTCTAAGGATAGATAATCTCTTTGGGGAGGATTTCGGGACTGAATGGGTATACAGCAAAAGTCTGAATTCTGAGAAACACTCCCAATTCCATTCTGCACCCTTCCCCATTTCTCTGGTTTCCTCATCAGTCAGGTACCCATTACTCTCAAGTTATTCTCTGGAAACCTTCCTGCTTCCACTCTCTGAGCCCTGCAGTGAGGAATGCCCACCCAGGCTGGCCTCCCCTTAGACTGTCTCACACTCCAGACCTACTCAATCTAGAGAAAATACTGAGTTCATGTTGTCACTCCCTTCTTGCACCAATGTAATATCCACTACATCTACTGATAAATCAATAGATCTGTTGATTTTGGTATTGGACTTGTCTCTTACTACTTCAGGGCACAGCTTCAGATTCTTTCTGTACATAGCACTTAGGCATCTCCTAGTTATCAAGACGGAACACTAGATGAGCTCTATTTCACATTTTTCACCTCATCCATTCACTGCCTCCACTTTTCACTTTTCACCATTAAAAAACCAAACAAACAAACTTAGTTTCTCTTGGTTAATGTAAATAGGAAAGCAATTTGATTAAAACATGTCAAGGTATAACTAATGTATTTAAAGGAAGAAATATATCTAAGGGTAGAGTTCTCTAACTGGAGAAATTAACAGACCATGTCAAAAAAGACCCACAAATATGAACAAATGACTTGGGGGAGCTCTTCCAGGAATATTAGAAGAAAGCTTTTAAGCCCTTTCTATGCTCCCATCTGCCTTAGTAACAAAGGGGAGAGAATGGATACAAATGATAGAGCTTTGTGGTTGCATACTGGGCTTTTTTTTCTGCCATCAAGATGGGATTCTAAGTGAATACAAATGAATCTAATATGGTCATCTAAGGAAAACTATTCTAAACTTAAATATTCAAACTTCAATGTCATTTGTCATGCAGATGGTACCCCACCTCTTTTATCCAAGAGTGGATAGCTGCTAGCAAGGGTTTCTTGGTGTGTTTCTTACTATAGGAAGCTTCTGTCTCCTCTCATAAATTTTGAATATGCTACAGAGGCCTCATGCAGGAAAACGGTTGAACTGTACTTACCCAGAGAGAAAGATCCGGATGACTGCATAAAATATGTTTGGATCAACATAATCTGGAGAAGCAATCAAAATGTGAACTTTACTACAGGCAAAAAAGCAATTGGTTACATGTGCGTGGGTCCTGCAGCTCTCCTGGGGCCGCTTCCTCTATCTGATCTTCATGGAAACCTGGAAGGAAGGCAGCAGCAGGAGGGGGATGGAATGTTCTCTTCTGTGGCCCCTCACTGGCACTTACAGAAATTTTAAACTGTTCCAAATGCTGCCCTTTTCTATTTGTGGCACTTCCCTTTTCTGAACTTCATAACAACAAAAGGAGAGGTCAAAGCTATCTTTAAAAAATTAATATTTTTAAACAGACATGATATTTGAGAGAGCGTAGCCCACTTCGGGCTCCCTGCTCAACGGGGGAGCCTGCTTCTCCCTCTCCCACTCCCCCTGCTTATGCTCTCTCTCTCCCGTTTCTATGTCTTTCCCATTTGGTCTTCTGCTCCCACAAAAATGTTAAGTATTATGTACAAATTTTTGCTGAAGCAACAATGACCAGCAATAGTGTAATATTTTACCCACAAAAGTAAAATGATTAGTCAATAGATATAAAATAATTTTAATGTAAAAATTGTCAATAGATGTAAAAAAATCCATTTATGATTATAAAAAAAGAGAAAAATTAGCTAATTAAGGATAGGAGGAACATTCTTGAACTGATAAATTCACAGAAAGCCTATTGTGCATTTTGTACTTGATACTGAAAGATTAAAAATAAGTGTTTTAAAATGTGGAACAAAACAAGGATCAGCACTTCCATTCAACACGGTGTTAGGAATCCTAGCTAGAAGAGTACAAAAAAAATATTTAAAGAAATAAAAGTTATAAGTATTATAAATGAAGGAACAAAACATGATTCTCAAATAACATGATTTCAACATAGGAAACCCAAATAATCTGCAAATAATTATTAGAATTAATAAGAGTGTTTACCAAGGTACTAAGTTCAAGGTTAATAGTCAAATATCAATTTCACTTAATAAACCAGCAACAAATAGTTAGGAGTTAGTTAAATCAAAAGATACCATATTCACTAGAAACAAAAATCTAAGGTAACTATGAAAAAAACCCAGAAGATATCTAAGTCTCTTATTTTGAATGAAATTTTAAAAAATTCAGGAAATTAAGAAATTTATATTGATGGACAAGAAAACTCAGTATCAATATCAAAGAGAAGAAATGTATCTAAGAAAGAGTTCTCTATCTGGATAAATTTTAGCCGGCAGCCAGCATATGAAGGCATGATTTGGAGTGGCTTGTCCAACAACCTTAGTTGGTGTTTCTGTGCTATTCTCTGACTCTCCACTTCCTTGATCATAAGACAGAAAGACTAGATGTAATATCAGAAGCATGTCATTTTTCTCCAAATCAACGTATGGATTTAATGCAATGTGAGCAAAATTTTTAACAGAGATTTTTTTCAATGCAATTTGAAAAGCTGATTCTAGCAGTTTACATGAAAGGCAAAGGGTTGAAAATAGTACAGTCAGTCACCTCTGGAAAAGAAGGGCAAGATGAAAATGAGAAATACTATGAAGCTATAGTTCTTAAGACAAATGAAATTCCTGATGGGAAAGAGAGACAATGAAAAAGACTAGGGAACCTGGAAACAGAGCCAGTCATTTCAGAAAATCTGATAGAAGACAGTGCCAATATTGAAGATTAGGGATTATTAAAAAAAAAGGAAATTGAATTTATTTCCTATGTCATGTTACATATAGATAATAATTATGTGAATTAAGGTCTAAAATGTGAGAGACAACAATTCGAGAAGAAAATGCAGGAAAATATACTTATGACCTACAATTATGAAAAAATATCTTAGGCAAGACCTCCTAAAACATAGACTTCTGCAAAAGAAATGACAGATACCTTGACTATATTTAAATTAAAAAGTTCTGCTTTCAAAAGTCCTAAGACAAACCACAATATTTGCAACACATATAACTAAAAAAGAGCAGACTGCCAGGATGCACAAAAAACTTACAAAAAGATAAAAGATAAAAGGCCATTAAAAATATAAGGAAATGCATGCATTCACAAAAGAGGGACCTGAGTGGTGAGCACCAACCAGCACGTGCATGCACACACACACAGAAGAGAGTTAACTCAAATCAGAGAGTGCGGGAGTGACGTCATCATCATGGTGGAGTAAAAGTTTTCCACTGTCTTCCCCACAGAGAACACTGGTTTAGACAATCACACATAGACAAGAGAGCCTTTGTGAAAGTCCGGGAATTCAGTGGAGACGTTCCAGCACACCACTGAGCAAAAAGATCCGGAGCTGGATGCACTGAAGAGGGTAAGAACATTTCACTTTGCTCACATCACCCTGTCCACAAGGCAGCACAGCTCGGTGCTAAGAGAGACCTTCTAGGGCTGTGATTCTTCCCGTGAGGGAAAACGAGAGCATATGAGTGAGTGCCTGGCTTCCCCAACTGCATGGGAATGCTGCCAAGCAGACCCACTTCTTTCTCGCCCCATCCAGAACACTGAGGTGTACTGCACAACTGGCGAGACTGGGCATGGGGAGGAGCTAGGAGAATGCCACATAGGGCTCTTGGGGGTTTCATCAAAGGGATGCAGATCATACTGATCACCTGACAGAGTCCATTCAGAAACCCTCCCATGAGATGCTGAGAACATTCCAACACCCCTAGTGCTCTGGTGTCTCACCCAGTCCGAGGCCAGCTCCTTGTGTGCACTCCTGAAGGCAGAAAGAGTGAGCCTTTGCTGAGGATTAGTGAGCTCATGCAGCAAGCTGGCTGATTCTGTGGGATTGGGAGAAAGCACACAAACCTGAGCCTTGAACACTCCTCTGGGGAGGGCAAATGGAAGGTGGTCAGCACCTGGCTTTGCGAGATCAAGAGAAGGCGCACGCAATTAAAACTTCTGCCACAAGAGGGAGCAAGAAGTATGGAGCAGGGTATCCATAGAAGGTCTGAGAAAGCTTTGGAATCCCTACCAGGGCTGATGGAAGGTATTTCTCTACTGAAACCAGTCGGTAAATCCTGGAGGAGGTGAATACTTCTTCAAATACTTCTTGCAGCAATGCAAACCTTCACAGAACATAAAAAAATCAAGGAAACATGATACCACCAAAGGAACAAAATAACTTTCCTGTAACTGACCTGAAAGAAATGCAGACCTGTGATTTGCCTGATAAAGTTAATTCAAAATATCTGTTTTAAGGAAGCCAGGTGAACTATAAGAAAACACAGAAAGAAAACTGAGGGTTGCTGGAGGGGAGGGGCGTGGAGGGATGGAGTAACTGGGTGATGGACTCTGGGGAGGGTATGTGTTGTAATGAGCACTGGGTATTATATAAGACTGATGAATCACAGACCTCTACCCCTGAAACCAATAATACATTATATGTTAATTAATCAGATTTAAATTTTAAAAAATGAAAAAAGAAAACACAGAAAGACAATTCGATGAAATCAAGAGAACAACACATGCACAAAATGAGAACTTTAACAGAGAGATAAAAATCATAAAAAAGAACAGACTACTAGGAAATATATTTTAGTGATGGACTCTGAACACTGTTCAGAAAATACCAAGTAGAAAACTTCCTGCACTATTAACATGGGGCTGGTAAGGTAGGAGAACCATGTAAACAGTCTGGCTTCTGGGTCTCATGTGTGCACATTTTGGCTAAGAAGGGTGGTTCTTAAAAGCCAGTGACACGGAGGATCTAAGAACACACCTGAGTTACACCTCCTCCTTTTCCTTCCATGTGGCTTCCCAGTAGAGTGAGAAAAAGGCACCAAGAACTACAGCTTCTGCCCGGATGGCCAAGCTCAGATCCATTTAGTGCCTGGCCAGACATCTTCCAGTGTTTCTGTGGTTGTGTTCAGCAAAACACAAAACTTTTTGGCCAAGCATCCTTCTCTTTAAATCCAAGTGAATCTCTAGGGAAATATAATGTCTACTTTTGATTCATTTACACTGATAATAATTTTGTGTCATAAGCATTATTTTTGTTTTGTTTGGAAAACCTAAGGAGACTAGCTTTTAAAGTTTTCAGGGGTAGGGATTTAGATTTTATACTGAGAAGTAGTCTTTACACAAAGCAAAACTAGAAAATCCTTGCTTTGGATCAGTGCTGTAAAATCACAGGTGTGGAATTAACCGTAGTGTTTTCACATTATTTTAGTAACATTCATCCGGTCCCACTCAGGGAAGTAGCATGGCAGGTGTTCTGACATACGATAAAGCACAGTAGATGCAAATCGAACCATACATCTGATGCTCACGACCACCAAACTGTAACTTTTTCACATAATTCCAACTGTCAAAGCCACATATTTCCACTGGGTGTCTTGTCATCACCTTAAGCATGACGTATCTCAAAGCAAGTTCATCATCCTTCCTCTGTGTCCCAATTTACTTTGAAAACCAACCAACCCATCAAGCAGAACTTGATTCAATCTTCCAAGTGACAGGTCTTTGCCAGAGGCATCGTGATTTTTTCCTTTTAAACCGGCTTTGAAATCATGTATACTTCCTGGACAACTCTTTCTGTCTCTGATCATACCTACACTCTGCCAGTCCTTCGTCCTTTTCCTTGATGTCTCTTGTCCATCTCTTCTGTTGCTCTGACTGTTCTAGCCCCTTCCCCTTTTCCCAGACTTGGTAGCATTGTTGGCAGGGTGTAAGCAGCTATATGTGCCTGGACGACACCAGGGCTTAATCTGGAGTTTATGGAAGTAGGAGTGAACCAGGCAGAGGGTGAATAGGAAAGAATGAATGGAGCAGAAGGAATAGTGCGTAAACAAGCCTTGAAGTTGAAGAAAGTTGTAGAGAACAAAATGGAGTCTCTCACGTCAAGCAGGAGCCTGCGTCAAGGTCCGGCAGCTAGGAGGTATCGCCCGGACCCACATCAGCCGACACCCCACAACTGATCACAAAGAACCAGAGGAGGTCTGCAGAGACCCAAAACTGAGTAAATCCCTTTAAAAAGGGAAGGATTTTGGCAGCAAACTGTCAGACTCTTCAGACC